TGTGTGTGTGTGTGTGAGAGCCAGCAGCGTCTGCACGGCTCCTGCCAGCAGATCTCCGGCCTCCCACGTTAATCCTCAGAGCTGCTGGCCGATGGGAGGAGAGCTTATGAATCGCCGGTAACGGCTCTGGAACCAAAACAACTCCCTGAATACCGAAATAATCAGAGCGACCTTGGAGGGAACGTTGGTTTTTTTTTGTGTTAGGAGATAAAGACGGCAGAGGAGGCGGCTGGGAAAGCTCAGAGAGGTTACAACAAAGATTGTCCTTGTGCTCCTAACATCACAGCTGGTTGTAGCAGAAAATCCAGGAATGTCACCAGAACAGAAGAGAGTAGTTGATACTGATACCAGTCAAATGTCACCATTTCATACCTAAAACAATAAATTAAATGTACTTCAGTTTGTTCTTCTAGATTGGACCGTTTGCGTTTGGTGACCTCCGTAGTTTCTGCCTCACACTCGTTAAAGGAGGGTGGAGCGATCTGCAACTACACCGTTAGACGCCACTACGTCCCGCACACTGGACCTTTTTAAATAAGAATAATGATCAATAAATAATAATAATGATCAATAAATACGTTTTTTTTTGTCTTTATTGTTTTCAGAGGAGGAGAACCTGAACATTAAACGCCGCGTCCAGCAGAAGAGGAAACCGTTAGAGGACTGCTGTAGTTTTCCTTCGCAGGTCAAAGCAACAGAGGTAAGAGACGGCCACAGAAAGAGCAAATAATACGTCTTTAAAGGGACAATTCACCCCAAAAATAATGGAACCAGACGGATACAAACTCAACATCGTCTCTTTGTAGAAGTTTATCTGCCAGCAACGTTTTCTGTTAGAAAAGTTCAGTTTGGGTGCCCAGAATGTAGAAACTGACTTAAGCATATGTTGGTTAATTAGCAGAATTAGCATTAATATTCAGCTATAGGGACAATAATTATAAGTGTTTTGCCGATTTGGACAATATGGGAGTGGTTTTGGGGGTTGTTGTGAATACAGAGTCCATTTCGGTGAGCTGATGTTGTTCAATTAGTTCAATAATATGTTATTTATATCTTTAATACAGGTCAAAGAAACTCAAAATGTACTTGAAATCAGCAGTTTAAACAGTTTTTTATTAAAATCAATGTCTAATGTCTTTGCTGTGCAGCATTGTATCATTGATCTGTGTCTCTGATGCTGTGGTTATGTATTAAGCATGTAAATAAACTCAAATTCTACTCAAATTAATCAACATCAGGAGTTAAAAAAAGGCCCTTTTTATGTTTGTCCGGTTCCAAAACTGTCAGAAATCAGCGTGTCGGTGGGCTCGTTACCGGGCCGCTGTGTGAGCTCGCTGCCTGTCCGTCTGTCCACCAGTCTGTCCTCTCAGCGCTGCAGCTGCTGTAGATGTGAGGGGTTAATCCAGAGCCCGTTGTGCTTCATATTCAGCTGTTCTCTGGGACAGAACACGCTGTGATCAGCTGCTGACCTTTAGAGACAGACTGACACTGTGACTGAAAAGCATCATTACAGAAATAGTTTGTTACTGCA